AAGGCTTACTTCAAGATGGGCACACTATCAAAATTCACACAAATTGACTTGTTTTATCAAATTCCGAAATCCCAGGATTTTTCAAAACTTAAATCCGGGATCGCGATCAGAACTGAAATCCCGGGATCCCGTGCAAGCCCTACAAGCAACTGATGATGCAATAGACGGTAAATATCAATGGATTTATTGCAGGACTGCTCAAAGAATTTTCCTCAAAAATGGATGATGCACTCAATACGGTCAAACAGTCAATACCATTGCATCACCCGAAACTTAAGGAGAAGAAATCGAATGATTCGAAGGAAAAGAAGAAAAAAAGAAAGAAAGATCAAGCAGAGAGACCTGTAATTGGACTGCCCACAAATTTTGTGTAATAAATTTCGAATACTTTGTTAGCTTTCAACTGCACTGGCGCATTATGACACTGATATTGTTTTTTAAAATGATAACGAAGAGCCCGACTGGTAATCCGAAGGTGAATGAGAGGTGGTTAATTTTACACTCAGATCGGCGATCAATCCGACATCGTCAGATCATTCATTCGTCTATAGCTGTTCATCACTTCGAAATTGCAGCCTTTTGCAAACTTTGTATTGATGGATAGATACCGATCATTGAGTTTTATCCTCTTTGGCATATTTCACATCAACTGAAACAATTCGACCGAATCGGTCACAACAATGAGAAGATAAGAGTATTTCATTACAGCTGATGGACTTGATCAGTGCATGGTCTCAATTTGATCATCATTCCAGACATAAAGCACACTGTGGTTTGGACGCATTCATGGATAATTCAGAATTAGATGAAACCGTGCGTAAGGTATATGAATTCGTCCAACAAGACATAAATGAAGCTGATAAGGAAGAAATCGATATGATCCGAAGAGCCGTGTCTGTTTATGGAATGGCAAAAGTCCGTCAATCAATGAGGAAAATAAATAGATCAAAGGTATTTTTATCGGTTAATTTTTTGTTTCAATCTAATAGTTTATGAAGGAAAGTGTCGGGAAGGGTCACACCACATTGTTTGCCATGGGGCGAGATTACTTGTCGTAATCTTTATTTCACATGGACATTCTGGCACCGAAAAATCACCATGTGTTGTGGAGTGGTCGATATAATGGAGTAGTTCAGGTATTTTATGATATTCGCACTCATAGAGAGCGGATGGAATGAGCAGTAAAAGTATGCACTGAATCTCAGGAACACTCTTAGGTTTTACGCAACATGTGAAAGTTCTCGTCTGAAACTAAAAAAACTGAATTATTCGCTTCGAACTGCCTATTATGTGAACTTTTGAACAAGCATGAAAATCATTCGAAAGCAATTTCCAGTTGATGAACTCTGATACAAGCCGCTCGTATGAAACGGACGCCAGCAACGCAAACCCATCGAAACAGCCTCTCAAAGTGTCATCAACACCACAGAACAATTTCAACTCCGCAATTGTGAGTTGCACTTTTTCGCTTTGAAACAGGCGATTCTTCTTTCAAGTTTTATCTTGCCTCCGAAAAACTGGACATTTATTCGAGAGAAAATCAGTTCAGTCATTGGTTAGTTGTCTCCGTCAGTGTCGTTGCATCCGTTTCTGAACAATTGTCCATTTGTTTCGATTATAAGTGCTAGTGGCAATGAATGGTGTGCAATGCGCACTGAAAAGTCCACTTTATTTTTTGCGTACAAATTTACATTTTGGTCACTTCAAAACAGTGATTTTCAAAATGCTTTTTACATATTATTATTTGTTTACTGATCAAGTGGTTGTGTCTATTCTTGCCCTAATATCACTTGTGAAACTGAGTTTTTCCAAACTGACATTTTCTCCGTTCGTACTACCTATTGTATGCGGCGTTTAGAAGTGCATCATCGCAAGCGCGATTTTCTTCGTCAAGTAAGCTTTTAATTTTTGATTTATCATNATGCGGCGTTTAGAAGTGCATCATCGCAAGCGCGATTTTCTTCGTCAAGTAAGCTTTTAATTTTTGATTTATCATCACTGGATGAGAACGGAAACGGGACGATCTGTAGAAGTGAAAAGTGTTACGTTGAGAGACTTTTTTATGAATTGGCACTAAAAAGTTTGTTTGTGAAACACATTAATATATCAGTTATCGGCACGAGTTGAAATAAAATGGTTCGGGAAATGAATGCGTCAATTGGTTGATCGCAGAAATTAGTGGCACGATCGTTCACAAACTTTCAAATTTGCATGTGAAAAGATGAAGAAAAGAAGGAAATGAAAACTGTGCTCGTTTACCTACTCAATCAAGCTGTTTGCGCATGCATTGGAACCTTTAAAAGGTGGCATTAAAAATTGACTTCTCCAACATCTGAAATAGAGTTTACTTCTGGTTCGTTTCGGTTAAAAACTACTCCATGGGAAATTTCAGTCAAAAATACTGCACCTGAAGCTGGCGCTGGAGATTGTCATTGCTGCAGTGCATTGATCGTTGCTTTCTGTTGCTTGAGCTGTTGACTTCCGATGTGATGAAAGTCCATGCAAAATTCGCCAGTAGTAATCCAATTGCGCATGCTGACGAAACCACTTGTAATCTTTTGACGATGGCGCTTTTTGCTTCAGCCTAATGCGTATGTAAGATTTTGTTTGCAAAATTACGATCATTTTTCAATGCCGGCATAATCGTGGGATCGAGAAACGATTACAAACAAAAAACAAGGAACGGTGGTGAAGAAGCAAAAATGATGAAATTACGAGAATTATATTTACGAAAATGTTTGAGAAACGCAGCAGAGGTGGTTATGTTTATTG